AGAAGTAGAGCAGCTGGACTCGAACCGGTGCCCATATGTGTTGCCGGCACTGCAGCACAGTGCCACAGTGCCGGCCCCATCACGTCTTCTTAGTCTCTTTCATCCCGAGACAGTTATTTCATTCTCTTTTTCTGCCCCATGATCTTGCCAGTATTGGCCAGATATTTTGTGGCACATTCCTTAATCTGTGTCTGATGCTTGCCCATGATTAGGTTGTGATTATGCATCTTGGTGTCCTTCTTAATGTGTTTTATCAGGAAGTACTGGATGTCTCACCACTAGGGACATTAACTTTGATTCACTGATTAAGGTAGTATCTATCAGATATTTCATGGATTCCTTCAAGCTAGTTTCAGTGTTCTTTCTCCAAAGATCTATTATTTTTTGAACATTTCCTTACTTTCTGACTTGAAAATATGCTCCTGGCTCATCATATTTTCCTCACCCTAACTCTGAAATCAGCTACTGCTAAAAAGGAGGCCAGGTTCTTTCTATTGCAGCCACACTAATACTGCAGCCATTAGCCACATGTAGCGATTTAAATTAAAATTAAACAAAATCAAAAACTCAATTCTCTAGTCACATTAAACCATCTTTCAAGTTTTCATTAAGGATGGCTAGTAGCTACTGTACTGCACTGTCAAGATACAAAACATTTTCTTTGTCAAGTAGAGACCTATTGGACAGCACTGATTGGAAAACATATTTAGAAACCAATACATGGGTGGAGAGGAATATACAGAATGGATCAGAGGTTTATTTAGTGAAATAATTACAGGAAACTTCCCCAATTTGTTGAAAGAAAGGGATGTCCAAGTACAGGAAGCACATAGAACTTCTAACAGACATGACCAGAAAAGATCTTCATCACGACACATTATAGTCAGACTTTCCACAGTAAAACATAAAGAAAAGATTCTGGAAAGTGCACAAGAGAAATGCTAGATTACTTGTGGAGGATCTCCAAGTAGAGTCACAGCTATGAGTCTACTTGGAGGTCCTCCGAAAGTAATGTGGTGAAACCCTGCAGGCTAGCAGGCAATGTCAAGATACAGGCCAACTCTTAAAAGAAAAAAACTATCAGCACAGAATACTATACCCTGCGAAGCTCTCATTTATGAATGAAGGTGAAACAAAGACCTTCGAACAAACAGAAATTAAAAGAATTTACTACCTTTCATCCAGCCTTATAAAAGATGCATAAGGATGTGCTATACACAGAAACACAGGAAGATAGCCATCATTATAAAAGAATATGAAAGCAGAAAATCCCCTAGTAAAAGTACAGAAAAAACCTAAAGTAAACAATAGGAATATTTATGGGAAAATGTCAGGGCAAAGTCATTACTTTTCAATAGTCATCTGGAACGTAAATGGCCTCAACTCTTCAGTTAAAAGATACAGACTGGCTAAATGGCTTAAAAACCAAGACCCATCTATTTGCTGCCTACAAGAAACACATCCTACCAACAAAGAAACACGCAGACTGAAAGTGAAAGGGTGGAAAAAGATATTTCACGCTAATGGAAAGCAAAAAAGGGCAGTTGTAGTCATCCTAGTAACAGACAAAACAGACTTTAACATAAAAACTGTTAAAAGAGATGAAGAATGGCATTATGTAATAATTAAGGGATCAATTTACAGGAAGATATGGCTGTAATAAATGTATACATACCCAATTACAGGGCACCGGGCTATTTAAAAGAAATGTTAATGGATCTAAAGAGAAACACAGATTCTAATACAATAGTAACAAGGGACTTCAATACCCCACAATCATCAATGGACAGATCAACTAGACAGAAGATCAACAAAGAAACAACAGTGTTAATCAACACTATGGACCACATGGATCTAACTGATATCTATAGAACTTTTCATCCCACAGTTGCAGAATATACATTCTTCTTATCAGAAAATAGAACTTTCTCTAGGATAGACCACATGCTAGGAAATGATGCAAGTCTCAGAAAATTCAAAAATAAATAAATAAATAAAAAATCATGCCATGCATCTTCTCTGACTACAATAGAATGAGGCTGGAAATCAACAACTCAAGAATCTCTAGATCATACACGAAGATATGGAGACTGAATAACATGCTCCTGAATCAACGGTGGGACACAGGAGAAATCAAAAAATTTCTGGAAACTAATGAAGATGACAATACATCATATCAAAAATTAAGGGATACAGTAATAACAGTGTTAAGGTGCTTGGGCCTTGCACCCCATGGGAGACCAGGAGAAGCACCTGGCTCCTGCTATTGGATCAGCGCGCTGGCCGCGGTGGCCATTGGAGGGTGAACCAACGGCAAAGGAAGACCTTTCTCTCTGTCTCTCTCTCTCACTGCCAACTCTGCCTGTCCAAAAAAAAAAAAAAGAAGAAGGAGGAAGTGGTACATTTTCCAAGTACAGAAAATAAAAAATAACTATCAGCTCAGAATTTTTTATCTAATGTAAACACCTTTTAGAAATAAAGAGAAAATCAAGACATTTGGAGGGAAATCAAAAGCATGTGTCTTCAACAGATCTCCCCTAAAAGAAGGGGAAAGGAAATTCCCAATTCTCTAAGCATAATGACAGAAAGAACCTTGAAACATCAGGAAGAGAAACAGAACAGAGAAAGAGTGAAACTGTGGGTAAATACAATACGTTGACAGTGTTCTCTTAACATTTCAAAATTATGTTAGATGACTGAAGCAAAAAAAATTTAACATTATTTGGTGTGGATGTTCATGTATGTTAAAAAAAAACACTTAAGACAAAGTATGTTATAAATGGGGGAAGGGCAAAGGGAATTAAAAGACGACAGATTTTCTACACTTTATTCTAACTGGCAAAACATCAATACCAGAAGACCATGATGAATTATGTGTATGTTATATAATATCTAAAAGAACCACAAAAAAATGTGGATAAAGAGATACAATACAGCTAGAAAGACACTTAGATAAATCAAATGAAATTATAAAAAAAGTTCAATTAACCCACAGAAAAAAGAAAACAAAAGGAAAAAGAAAAAAAAAAAAAAAAGGCAGACATGAGCCTAACATATCAATAAAATATTCAGGGGCTGTCTTGGCTGCTCCACTTCCTATCCAGCTCCCTGCTAATGCACCTGAGAAATCAGCAGAAGATGGCCCAGGTGCTTGGGCCCCTGCACCCATGTGGGAGACCTGGATGGAGTTCCTGGCTCTTGGCTTTGGCCTGGTCCAAATATTGCAGACACTTAAGCATATAGAAGATATCTCTCTCTGTAACTCTGATTTTCAAATAAATACATATATCTGTTTTAAAAATTACATTGAAAGTAAATGGCAAAAAATTCACCAAAATAAAAGATATCAGTGAAAATGATTTCTAAGAAGTAGACTCAACTATATTCTGTCTACAAAAAAGTATGTACAATTTGGATGGATGAATGGGAAAAACCCAATCTCAACAAGTCACATACTGTAAGATTCCATTTACCTAATATTCTTGAAATGATAAAATTATAGACATGGAAACAGATTAAGGCTGTGAAGGGTTAGGTATGATGGTGCACATGAGTGGGTATAACTTTTATTTACTTTCTAGCATGAGGGAAACCTTTATGACCATAGAATAATTCTTTACCTTGATTGTGGTGTTGATTACATAAATCTATACATGTAATTAAAAGATATGTAACTATATACATATATTGTACCAATATAAATGTTCTGGTTTTGATCTTGTGCTATACTTACACAATTTGTAACCACTGAGGGAAACTGAGTGAAGAGTACTGGGGGTCATTCCATACTTTCTTTGTAACTTTCTGTAAATCTATATTGTCTCAAAAAAAAAAAAATGTCAAACTACTAGAGTTCAAATGCAGGCTCTACCAACTTCCTAAATCTATCTTTGTATCAGTTTTCCCAACTGTAAAAAGAAGATAACAGAAATCTACCAAGTTATGACAAGAAATAAGCAATACATAATAAACAGAATGAACTACAGATATATGCAACGATATGGCTGAATCTTAAAAGTGCTATGCTAAGCAAAAGAAGCCAGACACAAAAGACTACATGAAATGTGACTGTTTAAATAACATTTTAATAAAGGCAAAACTATAAGGATAGTAATCAGAATATGGTGCCTGGAATGGGTAGGAAGAGGGGATTAAGTCCTATCTCTGAGGAATACCTTTGATACAGTCTTGACATTTGAAATCATGCTAATAGTCAATACATTAAAAAATAAAATTAATCCAACAAGGATGGAAGGGGATCTTAAACTGAATGCAAACAAACCAAAATAATCCAAATAACTATATTACCATAACCAAATTGAATCAGGTAAGCGAGTAGTGGAGAGAGGCCTAATTCAAAGTAACTTAACTAAATGTTCTAAAAAGAAAATTTTGAATTGTTTTTAATAGGTAAATTCAAATTGAAAAATATTTTTAAAAATAACTGGCCAAAATTCTTTAAAAATGTCATTAGCATGAAAGACAAAGTAAGGCTAAAAACTATATTGGATTATCAGAGATTAAAGAGACATGTCAACTAAACATGTGAGCTTAGACTGGATCCTTTTAAAAAAACTTTTCTTTTTTTTAATTTGAAAGGCTGAGAGATATAAAAGAGAGGAACAGAGAGAGAGATCTCCCATGGCTGGTTCACTCCCCAAATGCCTGCAACATCCAGGGCTGAACCAGGCTGGAGCTAGGAGCCAGAAATGCAAACTGTATCTTCCAGATAGGTTGCAGGGACCCAACTATCTGAGCTACCATGTGCCACGGAGCACATCAGCAGAAGGCTGGAAAGGAGAACAGAGCTGGGACTTGAACCCAAGTAGTCTGATGGGATGCGGGTGTCTCAACCGGCAGCTTAACCCCCTGAACCAAATGCCTCATCCAGAATTTTTTTTTTCAAGTTTCAGAAGTATTTAAAATATGGAGTTAAGATTCAGAGAATATGAAATGGAGAACTATTTCTAGTTGATTTTGATTAAAAAATATATGCTTACTGTACAACAAGCTGCTGGCACACAGTTCCATTTTCTGTTATCAGTTCATTCAGTTTTAATTCAAGGTGAACTTTACCCTATAATGACAAAAAAAAGTTATAAACTGAGTAGTCTATATTTTACTGACAAAATATTAATTAAAGGTATCTGTTTTTTCAAATGGTATCCATAATATTTAATTTTCACTGAGCACTAGCCCATGGCTTTCCCCACTCTGTGTTTGTTAAATGACCACTAATCAACAGTGTAGATCAAATTTCTGGAGATAAGAAAATAATCAAATGTTCATATCAAACATGGTATTCAAATTTAAGACTTTTAATCCCAGTTCAATAAATATTTGTGTATCTCAAATGTCACAGATCAGAAAGAAAGATGTTAAGTGTTTTAGGAAAATTTGAAGTAACATTATTTCAAAAAAGATAAACCAGCAATAAAGACAGAAGCACTATTATTAAGTCACAGAAATCATATGATACAAAAGCAATAAAAATTAAGATTTATAGATACTTAATTTTATTAAACAAGAAAGATTTAAGGACTATCTACTACATTTTAAGAGGCACTGTAGCAGTGGGTAGGAACCCACAGATGTCTAAGACATAGTCAATACAAGAAGGTTACATTCTATTTGGGAAGGCAATAAACAAAAGATAATACATGGCCAAAAGCACTGATGGAAAGAAGGAACAATGTAAAGGAGTACTTTCTAAAACAGTCATTCATATATTTTTTTTAAAGTTCAGTACTGTAAGTTTAAAGGAATTTAAACTATCAACTTCTCAAGAAACAAAAGCTTAAAAACAATATAACCTATAGCTTGATATTTCTACTCTGCCACTGGATAAGAGCAATTCTAAGCTGGTTAGGAATCAGGGGTGGATTACCTCCACCCAGATGACAAGATAAATCCCCACAACACAAAGTGGCGATTTCAAGGGTATGATGTCTGAGTAATTTCATTATCCAGTCAATTCTCCTCTTTGGAACACACCTTTCAGATACTTTTTCACAGAAACCTAACCTGAATCACTTTTCACTATTTATGGGGAGTTGTTACACAAAAATGAATGAGGTCCACTAGCTACAAAGTTCAAGGTTAGATGAGCAGTAAAAAAATTTTTTTTTTTTTTTTTTTGACAGGCAGAGTGGACAGTGAGAGAGAGAGACAGAGAGAAAGGTCTTCCTTTGCCATTGGTTCACCTTCCAATGGCCGCCGCTGCCAGCGCGCTGCGGCCGGCACACCGCACTGATCCCACGGCAGGAGCCAGGTGCTTCTCCTGGTCTCCCA